ACTTAGCTATACAGAAGATGACTTTATGACATTTGCTGGTAAATGGATGGATCTAGAGACAATCATTCTAAGTGAAATAAGCCAATCCCCCAAAACCAAAGGTTGCATATTCTCTGTCATATATGAAAGCTACCCAAAGTGGGGTGGGAGGAGGATAGAAGTTTAGTGGATTAAACAAGGAGGAATGAAGGGAAGAGAAGGGGGCATTGGAAAAGGAAAGACAGTGGAATTAATCTCATACAACTTTTCTGTCTACATATATGAATACAACATATTGAATCTCACCATCATGTACATCCACAAGAAATTAATTTTAAAAATAATAATGGGCAAATGGCAGAAAGATCAATAAAGGGAATGGCTCAGGGAGAGGGGAAAGTGAGAAGGAAGGAAAGGTACTGGGGTCTGAATTGGAATAAGACTCCATGCTTGTATATTTATGTCAAAGTGGATTCTATTGTTACATATAACTTTTTTAAACAGTGTCGTTAAAGACCACAATTAGCAAGGCATTTTCCTTCTCACTTCTACAATGTTTAAATCCTTATGTTAGCTTGGGAGAAGACTCAGCTTGCAAACGCAATTTTGACCTGCATAGAATAATGGAATTTTAGAACTCAAATATCTTTTAGAAGATCATAATTTATAATAGTTTAGTCATCCTATTAATGAAGATGTTAGTTTCTAGCTTATGTTCAGATGTCAAGTGGTTATCTATGTTGGAGCCTTGTTTGTTGCAATGCTGCTTTTTAAAATTATGAGTTATTACTTCCCATATATCATAAACATTACTAATCTCCCATCCCATTTACTAATTTGAATATTGAGAAATACTCTTTTGGCCCATGCCAATTGATTGATTTATCCCTCTGAGTTCCAGCAGGAGCTGCTAAATACATGACTACTGCACTCCCCTCTACTCCATGGCAAAGAAGTCGAGCAGCTGAAGCCTTGTAAAGAATCTCATGAAACCCATCTCAAGGATTCTATTTTCTGAATTTAAGGATGATAATTATATGACATAATTTTAGATGAAATTTCCATGTAGTCTTCAAATTCTACAATTCTGCCTTAAAATTATATTTCTGCAGCTTCAGTTCATCACCTCCACATCTTGTGTCACCTAGTTCTCACAAGTGAGAACTCACAAGTTCTAGATCATAACCCTACTTGAATTCATTCAGATCCAGGTGTGGAAACAAAACCCACAGTTTTTAAAGTCTTGTTGAGTTGAACATAAAATGAAATTACCTCCTGTGCCAGTAAATGGATGGAACTGGAGAACATCATGCTAAGTGAAATAAGCAAGACTCAGAAAGTCAGGAGTTGAATATTTTCTCTCGTATGTGGAAGCTAGAGAGGAAAAAGGAATTAAAATAAGAGGGTCTCATGAAAATAGAAGGGAAAACAGTAGAGTAGAAGGGGATTGAGGGGGAGTAGGAGGAATGAGAAAGGGAAAGAACTGCTGGGAAAGGGGAAACTGCAAGATGAAATTGACCAAGTTTTGCCATATGCATATATGAATATATCACAATGAATTTCACTTTTGTGTATAACTATAATGCAC